CCCCAAAAAAAATTACATGGAGATGATAACGGGCTCCAATGCCTTCTCGGGGCCAAAACCGGGGACTGGAGCCCTCCCTGGGCTCAATGGGGGATCAGGAGCCCTCCCTGGGCTGAACTCGGGGGCAGGAGCCCTCACTGGGCTGAACTCGGGGGCAGGAGCCCTCACTGGGCTGAACTCGGGGGCAGGAGCCCTCACTGGGCTGAACTCGGGGGCAGGAGCCCTCACTGGGCTGAACTCGGGGGCAGGAGCCCTCACTGGGCTGAACTCGGGGGCAGGAGCCCTCACTGGGCTGAACTCGGGGGCAGGAGCCCTCACTGGGCTGAACTCGGGGGCAAGAGCCCTCCGTGGGCTATACTTGGGGGTTGGAGCCGACACTGGAGCGAGCTCTGGGGCTGCAGCTGACACTGGAGCCAGCTCTGGGGCTGCAGCCGACACTGGAGCCAGCTCTGGGGCTCGAGCCCACAGTCTCTTCCTCCGCAATCTCCTCTTTAGGGCTGAGGAGAGGGAGATGACCAGCGGGCTTGACAGCGGATAGGCCGGCGAACTTGTGTGCTTGAACGGCCGGCAGGCTTGACATCTTGAGATTTGTAAGTTTGGAGATCTTTTTTATGCCCAAACATACACACTACACACTGACTAAAATTCAAAGAGTGAAAAAGCATAATAGCACCCCTTTAAGCAACTTAATTATAATTGGTTTATAAACATTATTTTAAACATTATGCACTTTTTTTTCAAAAAGAGTCGTTTTCTTACTTTGAATAAACGTGCATTAGTAATATTTTGCTCGATGCTCCCTCTTGTGGCCTCAGGAGAGAAGCCAAAAGCTTTTCTTCACCCTAACTGATATGTATTTTAAATTCGAATTTTGATAATATTTAAGTATAAAATTAGAATTTAGTTTTTCAGCCATTTTGACAGCCCTACTTCACAGATCTTTATTGAAAAGGATTTAAATAATATTTTTTTCGTACTTTTTCAATTAACCATAAATTATTGCACATACGGCAGATTATAATAATTTAGGACTGTAAAGAGACCTTTCTACTGACTCCAAAGACAAAAAAAATAGATCACAGTAGATAGATTTCCAGGGTCCCTGATCATGGTTGAACATGCCATAGTCCTGCTGCAAGGAGACATGAGGACTGCTTATGTGGCCAGAGCAATAAACTGCAATGTCCATAAAGTACTGTAAGAGGCCTATAAAACAGTGTTGGGGAACAGACTGGTAGCTGGTTTGTGCTGACTGCAGTCGACCGAGATGGGACAGAGCCTGGTACCTGGTTTGTGCTGACTGCAGGCCACTGGGTTGAGAAACAGGCTGGTATCGGGTCAATCCTGGTTTTTGGCCACTAGGCTGTTGCATAGACTGGTAGCTGGCTTGAGCGGACTGCAGGACACTGGGTTGGGAGACAGGCTGGTATCGGGTCAGTCCTGGTTTTTGGCCACTAGGTGGTTGCATAGACTGGTAGCTGGCTTGTGCTGACTGTAGGCTGCTGGGTTGTGATGGAGCCTGGTAACCAGCCTGTCCTGGTTGTCCACTAGGCTGGGACAGGGTTTGGTAGCTGGCTTGTGCGGACTGCTGGCCAAGACTTGAACTCAGGATGGGACTGCCACCAGAAAATAGCTTGGAACCAACTTGATGTCTACTTCTCTGGGGCTTGACAAAGGACTGGGCATTAGCTAACAGTAGACCACTGGACTGGGAGCCAGTCTGCACTGGTTGCTGGCTATTAAAGGCCACAGACTCCTTACTAGTCTGCACTACAGTTTGATAGTTAAGCTGTGCTGGCTTGGGTACGGTCTTACTTCTCACACTTGTACTCAATGCAGTGGCTAGAGAACCAGAAACAAAACTGCCACCTGAAGATATCAGAGAGCCTGGATTTTGCCTTCTAACATCAGATTCAGCACCAAAGTTATATACACTAGTCACTGGACCAGAGCCATAGGAGCCAGTTTGAGGGCT